CGAGCGGGTTAACCGTGGATTTCGATTCCGGTGATACGCCATTCATTTTAATCTAGCCGGCAAGGTCCGCACGCGAGGACATCGCGGAATCGGGTTCGCGATTTTTCGATCGGTAAATACAACGCGGAATTCGGTTTGTCATCGTCGTTGTCGTAGTCTCAACTTTTCAACGCACCTTTCAGTTTAACCCTTAGCAGATGGTTTTCATTTTCCTTAGTGGAAAATTTAGATCTGTGAAAATCTAATTGTAGGGTAGTTTCTTCAACATTATTTCAAGTATCTAATATTCCTGGCGCAATATTGGAGCCTAGAGTCCAACGGTTAAGTATACGATTTTTCATTTATACTGCACTTTCATGTTCGTTCCGCGAGTTCTGTTCTTTTTCCTCGAGAAAATCGGAATAGCTTCGAGTAATTTCTTCTCTTTTTATCTCTGTTCGCGAGTGAATGAAAAAGATATTCCTGATAATCGTCCGAGCAACGGCTCATTTCCATAATCTCGCCAGAGTCTCGCCACAGAGCCAGCGGATCGTCGCGACTCTGTTCACCTGTGTTACAGGGCTGTTTGATACCGGTAAACACAACAACGCGGTTGATCGTCGCGCGTTACGGGAAGGGAAGCGAGCAGCGTGCAGTCAGCTGGATGCAACGATTACACCGTCCCAACGGGTAATTGCAGTAATTGCGGTAATCGCGGTAATTACACCGGATTGCGCAACAATCGAATCCGAGTTGAATTTTCGCTCGAAACTAGAGGTTGAGCAACAGCCGAATCAAACAGTTTCGCGTCGACGCTCTACGTTTCGGGAGAATTCTATTTATACCCGAATAATCTAATCAAATGTAATTAAATGTAATTAAATGTAATATTCTATCGCATATATATATATATATATATAGAGCGATCTTATCGATCGGATAAGAATTGTTTAGTTTAAGGTTTCTTATTGGCATTCTCGAAACGTTTCGAGAGTCACTTTCGATTTATTCGGGTTAACTGTTCTTATCTTTTGTTATCCTATGGAATGTTGCGCGAGGAAACTATTCAGTTTGTTTTCTTTTACTCGAGTGTTTCAGTCGCCGCAACGCAATTATATGTTTTAGGAGACGCGAGTCAGGAGGAATGATTACGGTAAATCGGACGGTAGTTTCAGAGGATAAAACAATCGTTATTCAATTCCATTGTTAAAAGTACTTCTCGACTGCTTGGCTTTTATCCTTGCTTTTTATGGTCGATCGTTCGCGTGAAAATTCAAATTTCCCATGCTGATCAGCCTCGATCGGACAGTCCAGCGATGAACCACGATTAAATTCGATCGATCGATCAGTTTACGCTCGCTAGGCGAACTTTGCATTCGAGGGATGATCGCGATCGATCGGGAACGAGTAATCGTAGCACGCTCCAGGTAAAATATGCGAGGAATGTGTAACGTGCCTTCCTTTCGTGACAATGTTACGCGCGATCGGTAAAAACCGTTCAACTGCGCACAAGCGGAAGTCGACGACAAGTTTGAAATTGCGTTCCTCGAAGATTAGACTTAGAATTTTCGATCAATTAAATACAATGTCATCAATGTTACTCGTTATCGTTCTATTCGAAATGCTAGCGATTGCGAAACTGACGTTTCGAAAAAATATTTACGCGAAAATCGCATGTACTTAAAGTAGAGTCGGGACGATTAATATTATCGATTCTAAACGAAAAGGTTGTTTATCCGTCGAATACAGCCAATTCGAACGGGCAGAAACGATTCGCGGTTGAAACGAGTCGAGTTCGAGGAAAACCTCCGATAAATTCGATCGGCGGGATCTCCTCGTCGCGCGACGAGGCGATTCCTGTCGCGAGAGGAGACGGGATTGAAAGGGCAATATTTGAAATGGCATTTCACTCGGGAAACGTGACGGAATAATAAAGTCGCACACAAAAGCCTTAGCCTTCGGCTGTATCGTGCCGGACACGAGGAAAAAGAGGCTCGTAACTTGCTTCGCTTCGTAAGTAGAGCCGAGTTTTACGGAGCATTGACGTCACCGGTGTATTCAGATTGCATTGTTGCAGATAAGTTTCAATCGAGCACCGTTCCAGTTTTAACGTTTAACAACTGGAGCCACTGGATAAGCACCGGTCGCGTTCGTTCCTCCTACTCGACGAGAGATTTCGACGCGCATTCGCGATTCGAATCGGACTATTCTTCCGTCGTTAATACTTTTAACGTAACCAATAAAAGTGGTTCACGCTCGGGGAATAAATCGTAGGGCAACGGGTCAACGTTCAATCCTTTGCACTCGAGCATAGTTTCCGCTATAAATATTCATTATTTTCCGATGAAATATCAACGATACTTTCTACAGCTAGCATAAACGAACGCGAGTATCCTATCGCAATGTTAAACGACTCTTTACAATTGTTTTCAACGATACGACAAGTAAGTGCTAACAAACTTTAGTTTACCGTTTTCAATTTGTAGATAATCAGAGAGATTTATGTATGCCCGTTGGAACCGTGTTCCAGTAATTTCAACTTGTTAGCTTACACGTGTTATTACGCTGATTGGCACAATATTCGTAACAGGCTTCCTTAAAGATAACACCGAACATTTCCACGCAATACCGAACAGTCGCGAGAAGCGAATACTATATATTTCAATAGCTATCGGACAAACGACGAGCCTTTCGTCTACGAAGCGTCGCCGGGATTTTTCGGTAAAAATCCCAACCAACGATGCAGTCCGAACGCGCCCGATAAAACGAACGGGAGGATTTTCAACCGGACTAAATTCCATCGTCGAAACGACAATGACCTCGGGCCGCGTGCGTCAATGCGCGAGTGAAACGATTTGATCAAAAATGCGATCGCGGCTCGTTTTCTCCGTGAAAGTCGGATGAATCAGAAAAACGACCGAAAAACTGGGAACGAGGACGAATCTCCGAATGTTTCTAGAAATGTCGAGTTTCGTAGATCGATTAACCCTTTGAGATTAATTCCAAGAGAAATCATCGGTACATCGAGGAACAAAGCTACTTTATTTTAAATATCACATTCTATACTTTTACTGTGTCAAATCAAATGGTGACTGAGAGTCACCTCTCGAGTGCAAAGGGTTAATAAACCGACAAAGCGAACGGACCCGATGTATCGCATTCTTCGGACCACCGCGTCTTCGCCGTTTGCCGCAAGTAGAAACAGCGAACAATGGTCAGACGCGTAAACCGTATTCGAAAAGCACCCGCGTCCAGTGGAAAAAACGTTCGTTCCACATTCCTGGTTAAAGAAATTTTCAAAGAAAACAAGCGTTTCTTTCTTCGTTGCTCCGCGTCTCTC